AAAGAAGGTTCCCGTAGAGCATCCATTACTGACTCGTTGCCTCAAGTAAGGACTTTTGAATATAATTATTTTTGGCGTGAGATGTAGCAACAGGAAGTAGACACATGGTTTCTAGAATAAAGAAGGTTGCCGTTCTATAATAATGTTTACATATTAATGCAATTCCAAGATCTTCCCAAGATGTTCCTTCTCTTCCATCAGGTACAGCCCACTCGTACTCGTTTGACGCGAATCCAAAGTCCTCAGGAGAGCAGGACTAACCGATTGCTAGGGAAACAGCGCCGTGACAGTGGCGGTAGGGACAGCGGTATCGAGCCCAGCCCAAGAGTGTCGAGGATACCAAGACGAAGGATCATGAAGTGTTGCCCCAACACCGAGAAACAGCAATCTCTGAATATGGACACCATCACCAGGGACGTGCAGATCAGTTTACGACGATACCACCTGGAAAGGAAGATATTTTTTCAGTTGATGGAACTGAAGAGATTACAAATACGTCATGGCAGGGCGAACGAGCAAGTTCTAGTCAAGAGACAGGTAACGATAGAAGTCTATTTGATCGTATAATATTATGTTTGCATTCTCCTATCTTTTAAACATCGGGACACGTGTTTTGTAGGTGGACGCTTTCCATAAAGCGGGAATGGCTGGACCAACCCTGGGCGTGGCGAAGTACGATCAACCCTTGACATTCAGGTTATTATTTTTGAAATTTATAACCTGAAAGGGGTGCGTTTTAGAGAAGAAAGAATTACATTTTTACGAAGACACGAGTGAGTTAGGTATGGAGAAATATTGGGCTTACAGACGAGTCGATTTTGTAGAAGAACTTGTTTAAACATCCATGTTTAAATAAAACCAACTAGATTACTCCGCATCAAACTCTGACCCTTAACCCTGTATCTCTCTAACAACTTGACAATTCCGACGCTAACGGAGCTGAATTTCTGAGCTACCCTTAAAAATGTGGTGACGATTGCCGGTACATAAAATAATACAACTAACACTTTGTTTTATCAGACACTTCGAGGCCTTTCTGTACGATCAGCTCAGAAAACTCCAAAGAAGACCAGCCACTCCAGACTTTTGCACCGAGGCGAAGCAGTGTACCCAGAAAACTCATCGCTGTCATCACGCAACAAGTGCTTACACGTCGTTTCCTGCGTACACATATCGTACGTTGCTATAGTACATTCCAAAAAAAAAAAGAAACATGAACATCAGAATTCCATTTCAGACATTTGTTTGTGTACGTAAATTTAGTAAATTCGATGAATCGTTGAAAACATTCGAGCCCTATTTTTTGGGCGATGAGAGAAATATATTTCGATGTCTTCAAAACTGTTTTGCTTATAGAGAAATGGAGTACTGAATGCAAGAAATCAATTCGGATGATTTTCAGAACGAGTCAGTTTCGCTATTGTGATTGTAGATTATAATTGCAGTAGGTGGGAGCGTCCAAGAACAAGGGGATCTTCTTCCGAAGATTGAGAGTCGTGGAAAAGGACAAATGACGGTAACGTATAATATAATAACTCCATTCGATTTTACGACCACTAAATTAATTAATTATTAAGAGAGTTGGAACATCAAACATGAAAAAAGATCACTTGTCTTTAAAATTAAAGTTTAAGTGATTCTGAACAGTTCTGTGCAAACGGAATTGAATTTAGAGCGCTGAAAGTGGTAAACAAACTTCCAATCGCTTAAATTTTAATTAAAAAGAAAACGTGATCTTTTTTTATTTTTTGATGTTTCAGACCCCTTAAGAAGCATTAGTGAGTGTACATATAACATTTCTCTTTTCACTTCTATCGATAAAACATGCTGGGGTTATCAACTATTCAATAAAATGATCAAAGTCTGCATTGTTTGTCAAAGGTGGAAGTAACTCATGGGGAGGAGAAGCAGATAATAGCTCTTCCTGCTGAAAGACTGGATCGTACCAAAAAATATTACGTCACGTTCACTGTCAAAGGGGAAGCACACGAAACGGAAAAGCCTAAATCGTCGACCGGTGTTCAAAGAAATGCCAAAAGCGTTTAAGTAGTCTACGATATTGGCTGCATTCTTCGACTCGCTTGATAAAATACCAAGAACGTCTCTATCCTTTTCTACATCGTTTTCTATTCTTTCTCCGCGACGTAATAATTATACATTAACAGCAGCAGCTGAGTTACGTCGATTTTTCTACGGAATTTAATGTAAATTAGTTTCACGATATCTTACGTTTCTTGTAAACCGATGTGTTTACCAAAAAGAAAAAAAAAAATTACCATTTGAAAACTGCCAGAGAAAAGTTTGTGTATAAATTGAATGTATTCTCTAAAATGTATTCTCTATAAATATAACCGCCCCTTGTAATCTATCGTTGCGAATAATGAGTTACGTCGAAGCGTTTTATACATGAAATCTCATTGACAATTTGTCAGAATTAGAATCGTGTATTATTGCGCCGGAGAAAAATTGAGCAATAACATTAGAAAAATGAACAATTTTGTATAATAGTTTGATTTACTTGGATCGACGTTTGTTTCTAAGTCCTGCGATTTTTCTTGTAAACTGTGCGCTGCCTTTTTCTGAGAAATTTAGAATTACTACTTTATCGTACTTGTACAATAAAAAAAAAAAAAAAAGAAAAACATTTCGGTCTTGCAAAAGCAGGGACCATATGGCAATTAACGCATACATTTACTGTATATTTGTGTAAAGAGAACCGCTACACGTGACGTGTATGTAATTCTGTGTAAAATAAACAATTAATAAATAAATATCGTTGGTCAGTCTGTACCTATAGGCATTATAGGTTACTTAAACAGCGTATAATTTATTATATTTATTGAGATGCTTGCAAACATAAATTTGCATGAACTCGTCATTTCTTAATTTCTAAATAATAAATTTAGTTTGTAACGTAGACATTTCTTTGTTACATAGATTTCTAAATAACAAATTTAACATATAATCATTGTTAAACAAAATCAGTATCGACATTCATCCAGCCAATGTACTGCACGCTTCTTAAATAACCTATAATTTCACGAACAGGATCCAGCACAGGGTTGAAAATATTTCACCCGACGGTACTTATGCAAAACCTAAAAAACGAAATTTTTAAATAAAAGAGAACGAAACACGATCGCAAATTAAAGTTAAGCCCCGGTTAAAATTCTTAAAAATGGTTCCCCATTGCGTGCAGTTGAATTTCTTAAGAAAGGTTAGGCAACATGGCCGATTATCCGAGATCTCCAACCCCCTGATTCATGTGTCACTAAACTGTTGCATTGTGATCGAATTGGTAAACGTAGTTATTCCCAACTTGACGGGCAACTTCTGCTGGAATTATCGATCAGGCCTCTGACGTAGCTAAACAAACGGTCGAGAGCGCGTAATCGTTTCGATTCACTGGCGAAAGCGTGCCCCTGTTAGTAATAAGAGTGCCACAGTGTGGTCTGCCAATAATGCTGTCACGTCAGACGCGATCAACGAGAGTCAGAGTGAAGTTCGCGACGATGCATCTTGAACAATCCATCGAGGAAACGAGATTCCTGTGAGAAGCCTTCGCATGGACAAATGGCTCCAAGATAGAAAGCTCTGGCTTTTCGGTAGCACGCTACCCTTGCTACCACGCAGGTGAACATTGACACTGTTCTCGGGTATCGCGGCCACCAATCAAACACTCGTGTTCCTTTTCCTCATTAAACTAATCGCCAACCAGACGCGTTAAGAATTATCAACGTTGATTAATTTTTGTCGCCTCTTCGAGTGACTGGAAAACTGGTAACCTAAGCTGTATGTACTCAATCGTCAGCCTTCGAAACTTTCAGTTTTACATTTTACGTGTTGAACCACGAAGAATTATTTCAATTTTGAAATTGCTGATTGGTTGGCATTAAGAGAAGATTTATTAACACTGGCTTTCATTTTTAATTCTTGTTTTCGAGTGACTCAAAGACTGGTATCTCGAGCAATATTTTGCTTAATTATCAGCTTCCAGAATTTTATTTTTCACGATCCATGTATCGAACTACAAAGAATATCTATTTTAACTATGAAATTTATGTTAATAAAACTGCATACTTCTATGTTGTTAAACTGAATTTGTGATGTTTTGAGGCAATGTTATCTCCTGTTTTGGTTTATGATTTATACTGTTATGCTTCCCTAATTTTACTCAAGCTTAGTTCAACGGAAATAGCGTGAAAAATATGAAATTTGTTAATAGCGAGGTAACAATGTAACCGAATCCTGTAGCTCTATTCTCTCCGGAATATGCGACTTTGACATTGGGTTAAGTCGATCGATCTTCGTTGCATAGTTTTAACACGCGAGGGATGATGTATGCATTAAACGTCACAGATTGCCATTAAACGCGATTGAAGTGTCAACAGGAAGGTAGACACTTAGCATACTACTTAAATAAAAATAAGTAATAAATTATTTTGAATGCGATAATACAATTCCCTTTGAAATTATCATTTTCAAAATTCAAGCATGTGTAGGCAAATTTCAGAAGAAAAATTTAGAAAAGAAAGAATGGGTGCAAACGCGATTTAAACAATTAGGGCAACTTAGTACCTTTCCGAATGGAAATTGGGAAATTTGATAGAGAAATATATTCTATCGTGATATTCCACTTTTTCTTGAGCATGACTGTGTTTTTTTTTTTTCACACGAATCGATTTCTCTCGGTAAGCTGCGTGTAAATGTAAGAGTGATCGAACAATGAATTATTTACGAGATACATGTATTCCCCTTTTGTGACGAAAATTTGTTTCGACGCAAAAAGCGTTCAAATGTTTCGGTATTGCACATCAAACGGTTATTTTTAATTTTGCTTCACATTGATAGTCAAATTGTCTCTTCTTTTCTCGAATCTTTAAAAAAATATAGAATACTAAATGGAGAGAACCATGTAAATTGAATGTTGAGGATATGATATATACATATAATCGATTCATAACCGAGTATATTAACGAAAAAATAAAAATTACAACTCTGATTTAGAGAAAAAGTTCTATAAAAGGACTAAATGCTCGCAATGACTACAACCAACAATTGTTCGATAGAAGAAAGTGTGTCACACTCTTTATCCAACAGGCCCCTTCCGTACGCGCAATCAATAAACACGATTCATTAGCGTTATCTATCTCAACCTACGTCGAGATGTGGAATTCGAAGAAGCTTTAAACTTAGCAGAAAGTTTCATAACTTTGTCAACTTTCGTCGCGTAGGTTATACACCAAAAACGTTTTAACCTCGTTCATGGTCGTCATTTAAACATAGGCATAGCTTAATATCGATTGTCAATAATCAAGTGTACATTGCAAAATACCATTTCAGCACACTTAGTAATGCTCGGCATGTTCCACGACAAAGGTGTTTCAACAACAGGGTACGATGAATGCCATCATAGGATTCCTGTACGTACAAATTGTCTAAAAAAGGACATCTGTTCGGGTATGCCAGCATTAAAATATTGTTCGGGCAGCACAATTTCATTCTCTGCGCGAGCGTATGCTACACTTCTAATCCGACTGTCGTTTACTAGACAGTAATAAGTATATTGTACATGTTTTTATTTATTTTCTTTCGATTCGCTTATTTTGATTTTATTTTGATTTTATTTTGATTTTATTTTATGAATATTTTCGTACGACTGGAAATAAATCGTAGAATGGTCGAAAGGCGGGCGAATGAAATGCATAGAACGACACTAGGAATCGGTAGAATTATTCTGGACTTTTAATAAGTCTGCAGTAGCACGGCGAAAGGTCAAAACAATTGTGGAGGTTTTCTGGAAACTAATTTCAGGGTACTGGGAGGGCTCTGTATATCAATTCTATTACTTTTCACTCGAGTATGACACGCGAGAATTCTTCAGAGCCAATAACGACAGCGGCATTTCTCTTATTATTTTTCAAGTAGTCCACGTGATATGCTGGCTACGATATCACTGTATCTGTCGTGAAATTACTAAGAGCTACAAGTAATTTTTCGATATTATGTCTGGTTTAGGTGAAAGGGATCGCTCAATTTTTTTTAGGTTTCATGTAATCTTTCACAAATTCCGATCACGCTATTAAAATGCATTATACTATGGTACAATATTTATAGCGATGCACATATCGGTACCATAAGAAAGTATTAGGTTGTTCCAAAAGTTTCTTTCCCTTTATTATTATAAGTAATACATGCACAATAGTTTATGTTTTATGTTACATTACCGAATTGTGCACGATTCATTTTACTCCGTTACTGTTACAACATGAATATACATGAAATCAGATTGTCTATTTATATAAACACGACCGCACAAAATAATTGAGCGTAACTCGCGAAAGAAACTTTCGGGACAACCTGATACTAACATACGAACTTACAGTCAATAGTGCGCACTATAAAATAATATATTTAAATATATACATATATACATACGGCAAACATAAATGTAATTAAATAAAACTATCATCAAGAAGTGATGTGACTTTGTAATCCATGGAAAAAAAAATTAATGTTTTCATTTAAACAATCTATAACTGATAGTGTGAACTGCGAAGTCTTATATTTAAATACACGCGGTGAACATTGGTGTGATTTAATAAAAAAAAATAACCAGGAAGTGATGTTACTTAAATACGTATGAAACAAATTCATGCTTTCATTTAAACAGTTTATAATTAATAGTACGCGCTACGAAGTATTATGTTTAAACATACATAGTAAACGGAGATGTTTTCAGAAAACAATCACCATGTGTTATTATTTTTAAGAGAGTTTCTTCAAACTGGAATACCAACGGTTTTGCAATGTTTTTGATGAACTGATTGGGCAGTGTTTGTGACGGTTCCATTTCATTGTTGAACGTACAGAATTTGTTATTTTTTTATGAAGTATGAAAAGCAGACCGGGTCAATATGTGGAAGCTATCAGGTGTCGCCACCGTGAGTAAAAAGATATCGCTGGCCACGTGGGCCATAGGTGACTCACGATACGATAATCCCTCTAAACATATTAACTGTGTATCAATTAGTCATATTACGAATTAATTGATGTCAACGTTTCCTTTATTAGTGAACATGCTGGTAATGTATAATGTGTTAAAGATGTAATTATACAAATAATAATTGTACAGAGTGTCCAACAGGTTCCCATGCAAATATGGCTAACACTATGAAAGAAAAAATATAACAAAAATGTTACATGCTTCTTCAAACATTTATTAATTGTCCATTTAAAATAGATGAATAAATACTATTGCAAACAATGCAATAACTTCATTTTTTCAAAAACCTATTGCACACATTTCCAAAAATTAATTTTGTATCGTTGTTAAAAATAGTTAATCAATTTTCATTTTAAATGCCCATATCTTCGTATTGCATTTATGGGGAAAAAAGATTCGTCGCTGACTGAAGTCCACAGCGATTCAATCTGATTCGAGAAATCAGCTACGGAAGCAATGCAATTTCAGAGCCGGTGAAAAGTTTTTAACCAACATCGTCGACCTTTCAATGGTAGCGATGCATTTTCTGCCGACTAAAATTTGAATTCGACTGCCAAATCCACAAAATTACCAACACTCGAAAACTCTCACGTTCGATGACCCCAAGAATCCCCACGAGCATGGTGAACTGTTTATATTTCGTTCGACATGGTCAACGATTTAAGGTTCGCAAATTATCGCCAGCGTGTGCCGCTCTGGTAAGACGATAACACAGTAAAACAATGATTTCCAAAATTCTTCATAAAAGTTGAAAACGTTGAAAAATAAAAATCCGTCTCATGTATTTCTTGAATTCTATTTGGTCAAAATTACCATAAGAAAGCAGTAATGTAATTACATTTCCCAGATTATATTTAGTATCACCTTTTGAAACCCCCTGTATGTTACGTAATGCAAATTAAAGCAGAAATACAACGCGGTGGTGTATAATTTTTAATGTGAACCACTGCACGTGGCACGTAACTTTTTAACGTTGGGTGGAGGACGTCGAATTTCTACCTGACCTGACCAGCATTAGGCGATCTAGGGGCGCCTGCGCCGGTTTCTGATTCAAATAAAGCGAAAGCCACAGGGGAGCTTGACCCTTGGTCATCGGCTAAGGTACAGACAGTTTGCTCCGCAACCTTAACAGTGATAACATGCTTTTTACGCAGCAGTTCACCTCCCTGCCATGCCTCGCCAAGTATAAAAAGTGGGTACGAACCCAAATTACGCTTCGATATTGCAGTACCGTTAGTACCATTAGTACCATTACTTCGAGTTAATTAAATATTTATAATACTCTTGTTTGGTTAAAATTGGTAAAAGTGCCTTAAAAAAAAAAAAAAAACACATAAAATGGTACTTAAATTTTGCCTTATTTATAACTTTCCGTAAGCAAGATTGGGCATCTACTGTTTCATAAATTTTCAACAGAGGATTTAGGATTTTGTTTTGCAACAAGAAAATGCGTCTATCAGCGTAGTCGTGGCGGACATATTAATATAAATGTGCATAAATCGATTACATAAATTATATAAATCGGATGTAATCCATACTATTTGTTTGATGATAAAAAACAAAAACAAAAAAAAAAAAACACGAAATCCTAAAAGCTTTATTTAACCAACGAGCAACCAGGTAAAATTATGTTTCTTTTCTCTGTTATTATACTGCATTTAATCGCAAATTCGAACAGTTTCAAAAGTTTCAGTCTTATTGCTGGTCAGATCTATGACGCAAGGAATGCGATCCATGTATTGCGATTGTCATTGCACTTCAATGGGAACGTACGCGCACTCGCGTGTCACTATTCAGGGAGATAACATCCGCGATGTGTTCATAACTGTGTCACATGAATTATGGGACTTTTGGTCACCTTCTACACATTAATTTATGCTTCGACATCTATAAGTATTTCCATGAAGACAAATATCGAATCAATTTAATGGAGACTACTGACTTGCGCCGTAACTACTTTCCATTTTTTTATATTGATAACATATAATTTTTAAATGTCGATAATGTCTCCAAACAGAGTTGGTCAAAATCGTCACTTAGATAAAATATTTTAAATAACGAATAAACGATGTTTATTTTTTATAATATATTTTGAAATCAAAATATATTATATAGTTTTGCACCAAGAGGTGCGTGTAATTATTAGTTATTATTACTATCAGAATTTGTATTTTGTAACTTAACTACCCATCGCTTCAGTTGTTTTCAGACTGCTTCCAAATTAATCGACCGTTCCAGTGAACAGTTTTCTACCAAATACAAACATAAACCAGAGTTAAAAAATGCCTAAAATCTTGACTCTTTGTGCACAGGTCGCGCGCGCCGAGCAAGGCGATGGAAAGGTACGAACGGCTGGCACGGCTTGGGGAGGGTAGCTATGGTGTCGTCTTCCAGTGCAGGGATCGGCAAACTGGAAAATTGGTAGCTGTGAAAAAGTTCCAACAGACAGAGGATGATCCCCTCATACGGAAGATCGCGCTGCGTGAAATACGCCTCCTTAAGGTCAGTGTTTGACCCCATCTATGAATTTAAATGTCAGGACTGTAATTAAATGTCAGGTAGTGTACGTATTAAAAATTCGGGACTTTCTTTTTATCTATCGAGAGCCTATTAATTCCGATGTTTAAATATCATTCTATTCGGAATAGAAACACGAGTACAACCGTTCCAAACGTAACAGTATCGTTCTTGAACTTTTCTCAGAATCGCGATCTTAACTCTGCAACATTCTCAACACATGCGAATGTAGATGTCGTCCTTTATCAGGGTGGGTCACTGCATAACATCCTCGAAATGTCAGGTTGCTCGTTAGAAATTCTACCGTTTAAGAGGTACTTAACATAGTCGCTACCACCGTTCAGTTGAAAAATAGTCCCCCCTCGAAGAAATCATGCACAAATAGGACTTACTCGGCAAACTTTACAGGGATTGTCTTCGGTCGATTCTCAATCGATCGTATTATGCATGAACGGCTAAGCAAATTTGGGTCAATTGACTCGATACTAAATATAGACATGAAATGTAATTTTACCTCTTTTTATTACTGCGTGGCATAGATATGGCACGGTAACGCTACGCTAAATATTTCTAGTTTACTCGTAGTTATTAACTTTGTTCCATAATATTAGTTCATTTCTACTTGTATATACAGGGTGTTCCAGCCTAAATGATACAGAGCTCTAACTCCAAAACTATCGGCCGAATGGAAAATTTCAAATATGGAAATTGCATGGTAAAATGGGGCTCGTGTTTCAGCGCGAAGGAATTTTTGTTAACTTTGTTATTTAACGTGATGGTCAAGTTTCGTTTTTCAAATGGAACTATATATATTTTTTGATACCATACGATAGTACGTTTCAAGACGAATTCATTAAGCTTTAATGTATTTACCCGATTTGTATTAGTTTTCAAGCTATAACGTTTCAAAGTTTGCTAATTTTCAAGGAAAAATCACGGGCGGTCCCATTGATGCAGTAAGCACCATGCGGTTCTTGAAATCCATACGGAGGGTCTCGCTTGGAATTCTAGGCCCAGAATATTGGGATTCTTCCCATTTTCCTCCGTATCGAGCCCCATTTTACCATGCAATTTCCATACTTGAAATTTTCCATTCGGCCAATAATTTTGGAGTTAAAGCTCTGTATCACTTAGGCTGGGTCACCCTGTACATAATAAATAGACTTTGAAAGTGATGTAGGTATAATAGCCAAAACGTCGTTAATTTAAGAGCTTAGAGTATAGACCAAATTCTTGCATAAGGTTTGAATAGCTTACCTGTTATCCATTCTCAAAGCGTTGTCAGAAAATCTAGCGAAGTATGTTGTCTTTAGTTCCTCCACTTCTCGACGTGACTCTAGCCCTCTGCGTACATACTTAGGGGTGAACGACCTTTCGTACCCTGAAAATACGAAACCTCGAGTAAGTTGTCTCAGAATTAAGACGGTCACGCCAGAGGACCACCGAGAGTCAAACAACGCGCGCCGCTTTTCGATGGACGTTTGAATTCGATTTCCAGCTAGTCGGAAACTGAAATCAATACGAAAAAAATTCATAATCTTCAGCAACAGTCTAGCTGCATAAATCCAACGTTGGCTACAAGAAGTGGCCAACGGTCAATACCGCGGCGGTCAATATCTTAGCGTGTTCTGCTCTTGCCGACCTAGCCTTATCGAAATAATCGGGGGGAGGGGAGGGGGGGGTGGTTCCCTTCTCAAACATATGCGCATTCAAACGAGGCTCCACTCTGCTCTGACATTTTGCCTCAAGGATATTTTCTTTCGTGCACAAAATAAATCCGGGCCGCGATGTTAATGATTTCCTTTAGCCGCGACTCTTGACCGCAACACGTGTTCGCGATAAGAAGAAACTGTATCCGAGTTTCTTTTCCTTTTAGTTTTCCGGCTCACGGAATTTTTAAATTTCTTCGAAACTACACGTTCGTCGAACCACTCTGCTTGGTCCGCCGCTTGTCCTAAAATTATGCACAAATATTTGTTAATAAATGAATACGCTACCCTTGAATCGAAAAACTCCTATACAATTAATCATTATATTTCTTGCATTTGTTGCGTGTTTTATATATAAGTAAGCTACATAAATAATAAATTAATCATACGTAACGAATTGCGAAAACTTTAGGCCACGCCACTGTGTAATCCTGAGGGTGTATATTTTGCAGAACCTCAAACACCCGAATCTTGTTAATCTTTTGGAAGTCTTCAGACGGAAACGGAAGTTACATTTAGTCTTCGAATACTGCGAGTACACTTTGTTGAACGAGATGGAAAGATATCCAAACGGATGTCCAGAAATCACCACGAAGCAACTCACGTGGCAAATTCTACAAGGCGTAGCGTATTGTCATCGATTAGGTTGCGTGCATAGGGATGTGAAACCTGAGAACATCCTAATAACGGCCGATGGAGTGGTGAAATTGTGCGATTTTGGTTTCGCGCGAATGCTCAGCCCTGGTGAAAACTACACGGAATACGTCGCAACTAGGTGGTACAGGGCGCCCGAATTGCTGGTAATTATTACTAATTATTACTGATTAAACTAAAAACAATGTTAGGGCGTCTATTATCGAAGGAAGACCCTCTTTGCCTCGATAGGTAGTTTTGTCCTAAAGTATTTGTAATATTATTTTTGTTGACAAATGATGTTGCTTAATATATCAACTAAATTACAAGATTAATGTTAGTATTCATCAAAATAAAAAGTTTAATGTCTTTTCAACAGGTCGGCGATACCCAGTATGGGACACCGGTCGACGTATGGGCAATCGGCTGTGTCTTCGCAGAATTAATACGGGGGGAAGCACTCTGGCCAGGAAAATCAGACGTGGATCAACTGTACTTAATTCGAAGGAGTGTGGGCGACCTGTTGCCAAGGCATATGGCAATTTTCCAACAAAATGAATTTTTTGCTGGCATCACCTTACCAGCACCTCAAACTTTCACCCCCCTCGAAGACGCTTTACCAAATAGAGGCAATACTGCTCTACAGGTACACTTTTATTGTAAATAAATGTAATAAACAACCGTATTATTAATTAACTGAGATAGCAAAATCGAAAAACTCCTACACAATTAACAACAGTTTGATACAACGATATACACTTGTATAATAGACTCTTGTTAAAGGCTGGGAATATAATATTTTCTTTTATCTTTTAACCAATAGCTTGACTTCCTTAAAAAATGTCTGGACAAAGACCCAGATCAGAGATGGTCATGCGAGCAACTCCTTCAACATCAATATTTTGAGAACTTTCACTTCAAAATGCCTGAGGCCGAAATGGAAGAATTCGAAAAGCTTAAGAAATACCGAGATCGTTCAAGAGTAAGTTTCAATTGCACAAACACAAAAGTATTATTCTAATATTATTATTATGACATTCTAGAATAGTAACTACAGTCAAATGGTATTACCCCAACTTCCTAAGCCTGGTGCTTCAGTACATAGTCAAAGTGAAAATCGGCCGAAAAGCTCCTCCATGCATCATCAGCAGGACTTCGATCACCTGCCTACTATTAAAGGTTGTAATTAAGCTCCTCTGTGATTGTAATATACTTATTTATATACATACATATATATTTATTTAAACTTTATAAATATTCATTATAATTATTATTAATACCTTTTATTTATACTTGCACGTTTGTCTTTGAGCTCATAAAGAGATTTTGTTCTTTAGCATGATTTCCATGTATACATATCTATTGTATGTACATTGTATGTACGTCTTAAAATAAAATTTTGTACAAAACAATCATTTTGTACTGTCATATCCATAGAAAAATATAATAAATATATCCTTTAGCAGATATATTTTTAAAGGTCTACGCTTTAAGAATAAACAAAAAAAAAATCTGTAAGTATTTTGAAAGTTCTAGACTACAATACTCCCTTAAGGTATGTGAGCTAAAAAGATGGTTTATTCTACTTTTCTTGACAATTTGGATATAGCTAGAAAGTAATACCTAATTGTCTTTGGAAAGCATTCTACTTATATTGCTTTCAGTGACAATTAATACATTATAATACCGCACACCATAAAGAAATACAGAAGGGATATTAATGACATAGTACAGCAATAAATAAACATACAGACAACTCTCAGTTTACAAATGTTCTTTTGTATCTCATTTGTATTATGCATTAAATACATATACATATATTATAATAAAATGTTAAATAAACTATTGGATACTTTGTATATAATTTTAATTTCTTGAAATGACTACTACTGACATGTGCATATTTCATATACTCTAAGATGTGAATACACATTACGAGCCAAAACATGTAACAAATAATGTTTTGGAACAGAACTTTATTTGTAAATCGAGAGTCACCTATATTTATTTTTACCATTACTCTGTTGTTGTCACTTGTTTAATCTTCACTTCATAAAAATGGAAACATTTGTAGTATTGAACTATTTATATTTACAAATAAACATCTTTTAGACATAGTAAAAATGAAAAACACTATTATGAAACTTTGCTACTCTGCCTTCATGTAACGTCGATACAAACGTACAACAGGATGCTCATGCCTTTGTTCTGGAGGTACGTACTTATGTTGTATAACGTACCAGCCAACATGAAGGCCTAGAAAAGCAGTCACAAACGTGCCCACAAAAACAGTACCATTCATATTTATATCCGTTTTTCATTCATGAACGTACTAAATGTGAAAATATCCACTCTCTTCTTTATGTCGAATAAGTTATAGGTTAATTGCGATAAAGCAATTTTTCTACATAGAAGATGACCTAAAAAACACAGTTTGTACAATTATTTGTATAAGAGAATATGTGTAACAATTCTAGGTTATAACTGGTTATAACTGTTGGATGTTGGATGTGAACATATTAGCTGATAGTTTCCACAGAATAATGCTAGTTAGATGCGGTTATTACATTGCTGTGTATGTATATAATTCGATATGGATGCACTGCAAAGTGATTGGACAATAATACCAGAGACTTTTCATAAAGTTGTACAGTTCATCATAATTTTTCCTGTTACCAATAGTTTATACCATTAAATTTACATCTACTTTTTATTAAACAACTGACTGTTACATATTTTCTTTGTTTTTTGCTACAGATAAAATGGCAGAGTTAGAAAACGCATCCAATATATTACCAAAAAAGGCGGGAAATCTTTCGATAACTGCAACCAGCTGCAATTGTCAATGAAGTGATCATAAATGCTAACACGTGCTTTAATTTTACGAATTATGTACCTTACAAAGTCAATCATCATCTGAAACTAACTTTTTTTACTGTAATATACGTTAAATACGTCATCATATTTTAATTATGGCTGATGAAAAATTAATAAAAACAGTACAAAGCACTTTTTCTTTGTACGGTCTTGTACTGTCAAGGTACATGAAGTGTTTATATTTACATAAAAAATGTGTTTTTCGATATTTTACAATGTAAAATTTTTTTTATTTCAATTAGGAAACTCAGTGTTTCACTTGCTAAAGAACTTCTAAATGTTGAAGAAGATGAACGAAAAAATTGGCTTACACAAATTGTTGAACAAGTTTTAGCACAAAATTTAAACGATCCACATGTTACAGTGGAACATCTTAAGTTAGCTATAGAAGAATGTGTGAGACCTGATACATTGAAAGCGACAGAAACCGTGTTGAACGTGATAGATGCTTTTGAAATACCAAAAATTAAATATGATTTATCTGAAAAAAAGTTTGTTTTATCAACTGTGATGCCAGATTTATATCCAGAAGCACAATACAAGACTTCATTATTTAAAGAACGGTTTGAATTACTTTGGTACAGAACTTTGAGACATGAATTATTTATTCCCCCAAAGCTTGGTGAAAGGAAAGATAATTGGATTGAATTAGTACCTATTGAATCCTTATTAAGCGAAAGTAAAATGGGGAGTGTTTATGTAATGGGTCTTTTAACACAATTAACAGAGGGTCAATATTATTTGGAAGACACAGGAGGAACCATTAAAGTTGATTTACGAAAAGCAATATCCTTTACATCCTTGAAAATATGAATTTTATATGTTATTTTTATTTAACCAATACTTATTTATGAATGTTATTCTCCTTAACAGTTCTATACAATTTTCAGGATGGGTTAATTATGGAAGCTTCTATAGTAATAGCTAGTGGAGATTATAGGGATGGTACTTTGCATGTGGAAGACATAGGTTTTCCTCCAGCAGAATCGTCTACAAATTCGTGTGCAGATTTCGGTGATGCCAATGTATTTGGTGGATCACATAATCGCTCTTTGAAGCTATCAGAAAAACTGAAAAATTACGAACAATCTAACAAAGATGGAATGATTGTCTTTGTATCTGAAATGTGGTTAGATGATGCAATTGTTTTACACAAATTTAGAACAATGTTAGAAGGATATTCTGAATATCCACCTATTGCTTTTGTATTGTGTGGACACTTCTTAAGCTTTCCAGCAAATATAACAAGCATACAAAAATTAAAAGATGGGTTTAAGGAGCTGGCTGATTTAATATTGCAGTACCCAGCTATAAAAGAATCTTCTAAATTTATTTTTGTACCCGCATTAGAGGACGTGGGAGCACCAAAAATTTTGCCACGGTCGCCGCTTCCGAAGAATCTTACAGAATATTTTAGGAAAAATATACCTGGCGCGATATTTGCTACTAATCCATGCAGAATCCAATACTGTACAAAAGAGATTGTAGTGCTAAGAGAGGATATTTTAACTAAAATGTGTAGAAATACACTTCACTTCCCACAGGAAGGAAACATTTATGATCATGTAAGCTTATTGGATTGATAATTGCATACTCTTATTGTTAGAAAGTTGTAATATTTACATTTGTTATGATTTTTTTAGTATGCCAAATCAATTATTTGCCAATCTCATTTGACCCCTTTAAGTCTTTCCATAATTCCAGTATACTGGAAATATAATCACGCTTTACATCTACATCCAACACCGGATGTGATTGTAGTCGCAGATAAATTTGAAGCGTACGCGACTGAATACTCGAATTGCCACGTCATCAACCCTGGATTATTTCCAAAGAACGATCATTCATTTAAAGTATATGTGCCTTCACTAGATATAATCGAGCATTGTGCTATCCCTAAAGATATGGATGGCGTATAATTTAAAAAGTTATGTAAATGAAAAACAAAAAAAATGTAAATTAAAGAAGAATTTGATATTATAATTTATGATACCTTCCACTCTTCTATGAACAATTACATACCGATTTTGTACAATATTTATTTTCACATCACAATTTTCATCAGTTTTACAATACTTCGAAAATGCGTCTTCAGTTCATAACTTAGTTCACAACATTCTTCACTACTAAATATAAGAGCACATTAAATTAAATTCAACCATTGAAAATAACTTAATCTCTCGTTGAGGATACTGTGTGATTGGTTGGCCCTCTGTGTCCAATAATACAATAAAAGAGAATTGAAGAATAACTTATTAACATATACTCTTACAATCGAATAAGTTTAATAGTATCAACATAATACACCTCAAAAAAATTCAACACTCTTACTTTTCTTTCGGATTGACTAACAAATTTGTATATTAGACTCTCTATGTAGGACACAGGAAGTACGCGTTAATTTTATTTTGTTTTCCTTATCGATTTATATAAATAGATACATACAATAGTAAACACAGTGTTTCTACATCTTCGTAATGTACATAACAATATTACAGGTACAGACTGGGCCCCGGCATATCTCAATTCACTGCACTGGAAGCATAAGTCAATTACTGGCCATTCAATCAAATATCCGTGTAAGGATTATAATTTGTAGAATAACGTGTAACATATGAGATGCAGTAATAAATCGTGAGGGTTTCGCAAACATCGCATTTTATATTAATAACGAGCTGAATTGCTATTAACAACACCAGCTATACAGAAGTTAAAGGGAACAAATGTATTGGAAATGTAATAATTATGACATAGTTTCAAAACGTTTTACAAATAGAAACATTATTTTATTATTCAAATCGTTCTCTTTCTCTCCCCCTCATGCGCTCATTTACTAGTCATTCTCTCTTTCGTCCTACGATGCTCATGCACACCGTTTTTCTGTACACTATGTATCTCAGCAATTGTACGAATTACGAACTGCTATAAGAATTCTTCGTGCTCCAATTATTGGAAGCTAAGTATTGTGTCAACAACGAACAAATTTTCAATCGAGTGGCAAGCGAATGCTAAAATTGTATTTTTCAAACATTCGGTTAGAGTATGAGCGTAAAATGTTAGGAAAAACGCAGATTAATAATTATATGTATAATTGCGAACTGTAAGAGCTACCGCGCACTTACCCATTCGAATATATTACAGTGCCGCATGTAAAAAAAAAAGAAGGAAAGAATGCGCTTATATCTATTGCACATTCTTAAACTTTTTTTTTTATAACTCTGTTTTCGGTATCTCCTGTAATCGACTATATCTTAATACGTAATAATACATAATATTTTATGTACCAGTGCTTTCTTCATGTAGCTATGTACAGGTGTATAAGTTCAGCTAATAGAGTTACAATTTCAGTCGATGGACGGTGTGACAGTCCCTCACACTCCATGTCTCACGAGCTGTCCTTCTTCACGTGTAATTCCCCTAAAAAATCAAATCAATGAATCAAACGAATAACATTTTACACAATAAAATTGTTATTATTCAACTCTTCGAAAAAGTTTCG